CCTACCTGTCTTACAAGGATCTTTACTTCAGACCTAATTGGATAACCCAGGGTACTCTCTACATCTCCAGATCCCTGAGTTTATCACAACTGTGGTCACTTTTACCAGGCAAAATAGCATTCACAGGCTTTAGGGATCAGGATGTGGACATCTCATATGTGTGAGAGCAAGAGCAGAGCATCACACAGTCTGCTCCACGGCTGACACGGACAGTCTCCTAAGCTTTCTAAACATGGTGTGTCATAACCACAGGAGATCTCTTTGGTAGTTCTTTTCTCATTGTAATGACAAAATACCTGGTAAGAAGCAACTTAAGGGGGAAGGGCTTACTTTGACTTACAGTTCTGGTAGACAGAGTCCATTATGGTACAGGAGGCACGGGCAGCAGGAGTAAGAGGCAGCTAGTCACATTGCATTGGGCAACCAGGAGGCAGAAAGTGAACAGGTAGTAGGTCAGGCTACACCACCTCAAGGGCATCCCCCAGTAATCCAGTTCTACTTATGAAGCTCCACCTCCTAAAGGTTCCACAATCTTCCCAAGCAGCACCAGCAGCTGAGGACCAAGCTTTCAAACACATGAACTATAGAGGACACTTTGCATGCAAGCAACAACAGGTTCCTTTCGGGTATTTTTCCTTGTGGACCCTGGTCTGGCCACAGGGCTCATAAAAATGATAAAAGACCTTGTTAATGCTCAGAGTTTCTTTTGATGGGTCTGAGAAATCATGGTGGATGTTATGTCTAGGACTTTGCCTCGCTTATTTGACCATAGGACTTTGGAATTTTTTTTTTTTAATTATGTGTATGATATGTGTGTGGGAAATACCATGCATGCCATGGTATGTGTGTATAGTTCAGAGGGTGACCTCAGATGTTGGTCTTTGCCTTCTACCTTGTTTGGGACAAGAGCTCCTGTCACCACTGTGGACACCAGGCTAGCTGGTTTGCAAACTTCTGAGGATTCTCCTGTCTCTGCTTTCTGTTTTGTGGTAGGCTGGCTGGGATCAATCACATCTGGCATTTGTGGGTTCTGGGGATCTAAACTCTGGACCTAACACTTGTGCAGTGAGTGCTTTTCTTCTGCTGAGCTATCTCTCCAGCCTTCAAGTCTTAAAGAGTTAGGAAAACCTCCAGGGTTGAAGGCAAAGATTTGAGAATCTTTATTATTAGCTTTCATTGATTACAATTGTTTTTGGTCAGAGGCTGCTGGGGAAAATAGAATACTTGTGCCTGTGGATGGCTGATTGAACAAAGAGGTGTAGGATGAGAAAAGACAGACAGATCTGAACAGTGGTACAAGAAATTAAAGCCTTGTAAGAGCTCTCACATCTTCTTCTCATTTTCCTGCAGCTTAATGGCATCTCGATAAACTCCCAACATGAGCCCTTATGATCCATGGTCAAACCACAGGATGTGACATTAGTCCTCTTCAGAGCAATTGAGAGATGTTCAGTATCTAAGAGGAGCTGTCCACCTTGTTGGGCTGATCCAAACTCTGAGCTGCCTTGGTAGGAGGAGGATGGCAGGCAAATGCTGATACTTCTTCAGAGAACCTCCCCTCCAGGTGCTGAGGGTAGCTTTCCTGATGCTCATGCTGTGTCACTGTTTATTTTTTGCAAGGCGCCCAGATGCTATGGTGATGATATTTATATCAATAAGTGCTCTATTCATCTGTCGATTTCAGGAGAGGCTTGCCAGCTGTGTATGGCAGCCAACCTCAGGAAGCGTGTGAGTCTGATGTTTTTGCATTCAGAGACTCAGTTCTCAAAGGCTGTACCAACATCTGGGGCTAAAAGATCTGTCATTTACCCAGGACCTACTTTAAAAGGAGGACTATAGCCAGTGACCTTGACATTGTATGTCCCAAAGTAAGATTCTTCATGACTCTTCTTCTGTTCCTGAGCTCCAGTTTTGTTCATCTCTTATTGGGGATTGAACCTGGGACCTTATGCATGCTGGTCAAGTACTCTGTCACCAAGCCACATCTTCCAGAGGTACAAATAGGCTTACTCATAGTTCATAAAGGTGAATTCCCTTACTTTTTCAAGTAGAAGAACAAGAGGTGATAATTTCTGATTTGAGAACTCTACAGAGAACTCTCTTTTTTATCTTGGGACTGAAGAGATGGCTCAGTGGATAAGAACACTGACTGCTCTTGTAGAGGACCTGGGTTTGATTCCCAGCACCCACACAGGGATTAACAACCATCTGTAAATCCAGTTCCAGGGGAATCTGAAGCCCTCTTCTGACCTCCATGGGCATTGCATGACATGTGTGCACTTACATACATGCAGGCAATACATTCATACACATAAAATAAAAACTAATCAAACATTTAAAAAATCTATCCCAGTTTCCAACTTGCCATTCTTCGGGTCACAAACTTTGGAGGCATTCTTTCTCCTTTGTTTCCTATCCTCTACCTGCCAGGATATCCTGTCCTCCTATCTTCAGGACTGTATCTAGCACCTCTACCATGCTGCTGCTCCAGCTTGGGCCACCATCACCTGCACCTGACTGATCCCTGTTCTTTTCTTGTTTTTGACTCTCGGCAGCCATCATCCTCTCCTACCACCAAGAATCTATTCTCAACAGGGCAGCAAAACAGATGCTTTAAAAAGTCAAATTATGTCGGGATTTTGCCTACATCTGTCTGCGGCTCCTCATTCTCTGCAGAGTGAAACCCCAAGTCTGTCCTGTGATGACTATGTTCCTCCAGGACTCTGTTATTCTCTGACCTCATCATCTGCTGCTCTCCCCACCTCAGTCTGTTCCTGCTTCAGCTGACTCTCAAGGATGCAAGGTGTGTACCTGCCATACTGCCTGGAACACTGTTCCCTGGGAAGGACATGTGGCTTACTCTCTCACCTCCTTCAAGTCTTTGCTCAAATATTCTTTTCTCAAGAGGGTCTTCATTGATCATATCTGTGTCTTGTGCCCCAAACTCAGCTTTTTATTCTCCACTATGCTTCCTGCTTATTTATCTTTTCCATGCCCTTGTCACATCCTAACATCTAATTGAGTACACTATACAGCATTTGTTGTTTATGGTTGGGCTCTCTCCTTTGGAATAGAAAGTGCATGGGAGATAGGAATATTCTTCTTTCGCCATGTCTGTGCTGTTCACTGATGCATTTCAAGCACTTAGAATATCTGCCAGCAAACAGCAGTAGCAGATGCTCAACAAATGTAGGCTGTATGAACGAGGGGAGCCGCTCCTGGATGTCTCTCACAGGCACATCCAACGTGCACTCACTTTCCTCTGCTCTTACCCAGGCTTCCCCATCTTCCTGCCTTTCCATTTTGGTCAGGTATATCCTGGGCACCTGATTACCCAGACAAACCAACTGCGTGACAAACCATCCGTGACTTTTCCTTCTCATCCATATTCACATGCAGCCTATCCCTATGGCTGTGAATTTCACACTGGAAATGTTTTAACATCTAGCCCTATTGTCCGGCCTCCTGGCCACTTCCTCAGCTCAGATCTCCCTCTTCAATTTCCAAACACTTGCCACATTTCCTCCCTTGTCTCTGCTTCCCAGGCCTGTGCTTTTTGGTCCTGAACTTGGCTTTTTAACAGGCGCTCTGGTCTTCCAGAATCTACTCCAGTGCATAGCAAGGATTTTCTAATTATAAGCCTAAGAACCTCCCGATACTGCAAAGGGATGCAAGTCTCTAGTTATCCAAGAGCAACCAGGAACAGATGAAAGACCAGTGCATGTGCAGCTCTGGACTGGCTCTGCCTGCTTTAAGATGACCAGCTCTTGACCTTTCCTGCTTAACACATTAGGCTTGCATTAAAACTTGGCTGAAAGGATTCTGTGACTTATAAGGCAAAAGTCTGTTTCTTCCAACGCTTCAGTCCAAGGCCCAAGTTGCTCTTTTCCAGGCTTACCTCGCTCTTTTCCTTTGGACATAGCCCCCATGCGCTAGAACCAAAGCTGACTGCAAACCAGCCTCTACATCCATCTACCTTACCTTTGCTCCCGCCTTTCTCTCTACCTAGAATGCTTTTTCCCAGCCATCCATCCTCTGTACAACCAAATCTCCCCTGCCTCCTTCAAGGTCCCCGTCACCTTCCTTTTGAAGTCTTCCCTCACCCTCTGGGCAGAATTAATTGCTCCCTGCTCCAGGTCAACACAGCACTTCATCGCTGACCTCTATTATAACACAGCCACATGAGGTTCGGACAATTTGTCCGTGTGTCTCTGTAGGAAGATCGGCAGTTCTTGGAAGACTGAAACTATAGCTGAGCCCCACCTGAAAAAATATATTATTCCCACCCAAGGCCAGCACTGATACAAGAGTGCACTGATTTACTTTGAGTTTTCTTCAAGGCAGTAAAAAGACAGTTTTACAAAAATCCAAAAGGCTATTCTCACCTCCTCTGCCCCAGTATGATTGTCCTGTCACATCATGGTGAGCTTCAGACACTGTCACAACATTGTGTCCTGTCCTAAGTATGGGGAAGAGTTATAAACCTACATGATGGTTGGAGCTGCCAGATCCAGAAGGGCTAAAATATGAAGTCAGGGTTTAGGTGGGTGGCCAGGGGGCAATCTCCTAGGTTCAATTCTAGGTCCTGCCAGAAACGAGCTGCATGGCAGAGGGGCCAGGAGGGTGAGGAGATGGCTAGGCATTGGCTATTCTTTGGGGCTGGTGGTGCTCAGTGTTGGGGTATGCGAGTCATCTTGGTTTTCTGAGCTCTGTGTGATTTAGAGAAAGACTGTATCCAGTAACCTGGAGGGTGACAACAGAGATTGGCCCTCAGTAGAGTGAGATAAAACCCATAGGCAAAGAGAATGATTTCTAAGGGCCTGTGGTGGATGGGACAGTGGGAGACTCCTTGACTCTGCAAGTAGCTGTAAGGATGTCCCTGGTGCTCACAGCCTGCCAATGCCCATCACTGAGTCATCAGAAGAGTCTCCCACCAAGTCTATTGCATGCCTCTTCCGGCCCACTGGGACCCACCTATGGCATCATGGGCCTCTCCCTACCTGGGCAGTGTCCATCTCATTCAGCATCACCACAGAAGAGCAATTATAATCGAACACCAGCCTCCAGAAGTCTGCCACAGTGTTGGGTAGAGGGTGCTGGGTGACGACGAAGGCAGCAGGCTGCTTGTGACTCTGACAAAGGAATGACACGGGTTTAGTGAAATACACACCCATCACTGATATTCTGATGATGAGGCTGGGATGACTGCCAGAGGCCCTGAGCCTGCCAAATAGATTTCACAAAGCACCTGCCTGCTCTGTTATCTCTCAGTGCCCTGGTGGCAAAGGGGACCTTCTCATAATGAACACATTCTCCTCAAAACTAAGACATTTCATTAGGAAAGTGTCACTCAGAGATTATTCAAATGAATTATTTATGTCTTGGAGCTCAGCAAATAATCATCATTACGATATGAAATGAAACATTCGGGATGCAGAATCGCTGCTCTTCTGACCAAGACACCTCTCGGGCTATGAGGGATCCAATGAGTCCCTGTGCCTCTGATGCTGAGGAGGGAACCACTGACCTCTAAAAAGACTTTGATTACAAGGCTCACTCCTGTCATTGGGCTGGACTGAGGGTTGAACTAGCCTGGAAGAAAGTGGCATTATGTCCTTCGGTCAATGGGACAGTGGAAGACAGTCAGGTATTAGTTAGACCTGAGATTCAAAGACAGTTTTGCCCCTTGTAAATTATGACACTTCCATCTGTCCATTCATCCATCCACCCTCTGTCTATCCATTCATGTATACAAATATCACTTATAAAGTACTGGAGGAAGAGGGAACGCTAAACACTGGTAAATCAGTAGGTGGTTTCAAAGCTCAGTCTCTATCTGGAAAATGGAATTCAAATCCATTATATTTCATATAATGAGTGAGATCTGCATCTTAAAAAAACCTGTAAGCAACAACGTGATAGAGTCTATGGCAACCTGGAAACACTTGTGACTTAGGTTTCCATCCTCAGCACCAGATCTGTGTTCGGCACACACTAGCCACAGTGCAACTTGGAAAATAAATGAACTGTGCCTCATGGTAAAGACAGGGAAACTGAGGTCCAGAAAAATGGTCTGTGTGAGTCTGGGAGCTTCAACCTGGCCCTATGTGCCATACCACCGCAGGAGAGGTATTTAGAAATATTGGGGATGTCTCTACTTCATCAGTACCTTGTGAAATCTGAAAACTAGCCCACGTTTTAATAAATTTTCTTGGTGGCTGGTCCACATAGAAGTTAGAGCTGCTGCCATAGAGTGACATATGAGCCCGGAGGAAATAGGGGCAGGGACCCCAGAAGTAGCAGGCCAAGGACTTTAGACATGTCTATCATGCATTCACTAGGGACTCCTGTTTCCTAGGGCTGTCTCTTGACCAGTGGATGATCAATGTGGATGTCTAGAGGGACAGGCCCTTTAACTGTCCCAAAGCCAAATTCTTCAGCCACAGCATGGATTTTCAGCCATTTCCAAACCAAAAAAAAAAAAAAAAAAATCTACTTGCTGCTAATGTCTTATTGTTATACACATAGATTACTGCACCTGTCACTTCTCACCAGAGAAGCTGCTTCTTACAGCAGATGGCAATTCACACAGAGACCTACAATTGGTCAACATGTAGAGAACAAGGGACTGAGGTGTGCTCAGTCCTGAATGGGACACCTATATCATACCCTCTCCTCCCAAGGTTCAAGGATCATTGTGGAAGAGAGGGCAGAAATATTGTAAGAGCCAGGGGTGGTAGATGAATACAAGGAAACTGTTTTCTGGACACAACAAGGAAGTTGCACATATGGACTCACAGCTCTTGTGACAACATGCACAAGTCCTGTGCAAGCCCGAGCCACACAAAAATCCCAGAATGGAGTGGAAAGCTGGGGAAGAAGCCTCAGTCCTAACTGAGGAACTATTGGCAATACAGCTTTTGGGAGAGGGAGAGTCAGTTTTCTTTAAGGGTGTGATGCCAAGTAAGTTGATCACTGTATAGGAGATGGGCCCATGCCTGAGAGCATTTGGGGAACACAAATTAGACTTCATAGGATTTAAAAAATAATAAAGGGTGGGGGTGGGTGGATCTGAGGGAAGATGGGAGAGATGATCAAGGTAAGTCATCGTAAGAGTCAATAAAAATATTTGAAGTAATCCAGACTTTCAAGATAGTGGATGTGGGGCTTAGATCCTTGGTACCACCATTTTGGAGCTAGTGATGGAAATACTGACCCTCAGTCTGTCTCAAGAAAATGGGGAGAGTAATTCTCCAGTGCAGAATGAGACAGTGCAAGTCCAGGGCCCGACATGGTGCCCAACATGTGGGGAAAGTTAGTTTTCTTTGCTTTTCCTGTCTCTGTGATAAATGCTCTATTAGGCCAGCATGCCTGACAAAATCTTATCTGAAAATATGTTTGAGATCCACGCTCCTGCCGGGTTTCAGGGATCAGCCAGCAATCCATTTCATGGATAACATCATCCTTTACCAGGGGAAACATTAAAAATTAACCCAGAGGACTTCATATTTTTCTGCTAGAGGCGAAGCTGCTATGGTTACCAGATAATGCGCAGACTGAGCTGGAATACAGATAAGGATTTTTTTTTCTAATATAAGAAAGGCAAAGGCCCCAGTGATGGCTCACAAGAGAAATGCCCTGTGGACAAAGAATACAATCAGAACCAGAGCTTGGCAGAAGGCATTTGACTCCAGGCAGCATCTAACCTATGACTCAGAGTCCAGAAGCTTCCTTGATCCTTCCTTAGATGAAGAAGGCAGTGAGAGGATGCTGGCACAAGTCAGGGACAATGGCATGAGGAGCTTGGAGGTGTGAGTGGACAACTCAGCTGCATCTTCACCATGTATGCATACACAAGTGCATATACATATATCCAGACATGCAAGTATTCATATGTATATACATATTGATCTTGAAATGAATGCTCTAAACTAATAACAGAAATCTTTCCTCCTTCAGCTATTCCAGCTACTTCATACAATCAAGACAGGACTCCCTGTTTCTGGACTCAGCCAACATTTTCATGGAAGATGTAAGCATCAGTGAACAGAAGCTAGAGCAAGTTTCTTGAGACTGGGCTATGTATTCATCTTATACCACCTTGGACACTTGAGCAAATCAGAGGTCAGAGAAGTCGAAGGCCTTGATCTATGAAGAGACACTCCATTATTTTGTCTGTGAGATGGGAGGACCACATGGGCTGGAGGGACATGACCTCAGAGTGGGGAGGGGCGTGGAGAGGAACCTGGGTTGGTCATCCCTAACCAGACAAGGGTGTTTTTGGATCTGAGCCATAGGAACCAAGATGCCCAAATCTTACTGGATCAAGGAAACTGTGGAGAGGTTCAAGAAGTGAATCCAGAGTGGGATCTAGGAATCCTGGCATCGCCATTAGATCTCTGGGGTACTGTGAACAAGTCTTTCTCAATCTGCCCTCGGATTCTCCTGTTGAAAATTACATTAATTGGACTAGAGTGTCCATGGTTCCATACTGCTACAAACATCTCCTAGGTAGAATGATGGTAAGGAGATGTTGCCAAAAGACCCAGGGGTGAGGCAGGTGAGACAGAAGCAGAGGTCCTCTAGGTTAGACATTTCCCTAATCTCAAACCATGGCAGGTTATAGTGCCCTTCTTGGGCATGATACTGAGAAAGGAGATGAGGCTACTATAACAGGATAGTCAGGAACATGGCCTGTATCCCTCCTTGATCTTATTATTACCTCCCGTCACTGGCCAACAGTCGTTCACTGAGCATCTACTCTGGTTACCAGCCTTTCCTCTGTACGGGATTTAGCTGGAAGCAAGATGAGAGCAGCACCTTTAAGATGCTCTATTGATTTTGCCTTCCCAGGTGTCAGACCAAGGTCTGGCATGGGGAATGTGGCCAGAACTGAACTTCAGGCTGCGTGAGAGGGAGAGGGCATGCAGGCAGGGTGGGACTAGAGCCTTGTGCTGCCATGGGGGACTTCTTTCAGTCTTTGATCTAATACTTCCATCTTCTTTAAGCTGAGAGCACTTTATGTGTCTGGGTTTGGACATGAGGCTTCAGAGGAACAATGGCCTCAGAGGCCAGCAGTCCAAAGGAAGGTGGCTGGTAGTCGGGGCTCTGGGCTTCAGCTATCTCCACCTTGGGAAGAAGCTTGCTCTATAATGCCAGTCAGGGGCATCCTGCCAGGGCTCAGCTTACATCCATCAATGCTGCATTGATGTAGTTGCTGGACTCTCCATCAACAGAGATGAGGAAGGGCAAGCAGCGGTCCAGAGGCAGGACATCCATACTTCGGTTCTTATCATGGTTCCGGGGTAAGAGCCCAATGCTGCAGTCCTCAGGCCGGACACGAGGTGTCACAATGTTGAGTGTCTGTCGAGGGGTAGAGAAGTACCGCATAGAAGGTTGCTTCCAAGTGAGAGAGACTGTGATATCCCAATTTAGCCTAACTCACCTGTCTTCACCTTCCAAACTTGGTTCTGCTGGCCCTGTTCCAGAACCCATGCCTCTCCCCCATGATGGTGATATTCTGTTATAGCCTGCTTGCTACTATTGGACTTCTGGGTTGAGTGTCTCTGCCAGGGTCTGTGTGACACTTTCAAGATGCCAAGGCTGCAGGGGCAGCATGCCCACACACAGGCTCAGCCATGGGCTGACAACTCTTGCCAACTATTTGAACTAAGTTGTTCAACTGAGCCAGTGTAGCATTAAAGGAAGGGCCAGCCAGAAGGGCATATGGTGGTGAAGAGGGTAGAAAATCCTTAATGAGTACTAAGCATCACTTAGAGTGCCATGGAAGGATGGAAACGATGCACCAGCACTTAGAGAGAAATCTGTAGGAAGATAGAAGGACGCTGGAATTAGCTGCTCAAGGTGGGCAAGGGACCTTATGGGGAAAACTAGTCCACCTACAAAATCACAGTGCTTATGTTCTGCAGACTAAGCATGGTGCAGTTTGCAACCTGAGCTGCCCCAGTCAATAGACTGCATCCTGGGGGCAATGACCATGGCTCTGTGTTCCATCCTTCTGTCACTTACCATGCTGTCTCTCTTCTAAGTCAGTAAAGATTACTCATTTGAAAGAGTCCTAAAATATCATAACTGGTTCCCAGCTTCCACTGTGCAGGCATCGGCCTTGGGATGAAGGGCTGGTCTCTAGCATTCATGTCTAGAACTCTCAGACCAAAGCTTCATTTCTGACCACATGGATGCTGAGGTGTGACTCTTCTGTTTGAGTGATAGTCTAGGACAGTGTTTTTCAAAGTGCAATGTGCATGTAGATAAATTACACCCCACCCCAAGATCCTGCTAAATTGCAGGCTCTTACTCAGTAGGTTTGGATGGGGCTCAAGATTCTGCATTTATAACAAGCTCCCAAGTGATGCTCAAACTGCTGGTCTCTAGACCATACCTCATGTCAAAAGATTTATGGAGAAAATACTGGAGCAGCCTGTCACTCTAGAGACAAAAAAAAGCACGAAATCTGCACCTGTGTGTATAAACTTCTGTCCATCCACATCCTGGACAAGAATTAACTAAGGACTCAGTTCAAAAGCATAATCATAGTTAAAAACAAGTGTGAGCCATCACCGAGTGATTGGTTAATAGTTGGTAATGATGTGCAATCTGCTGGTATAAGATGCTTTCCACAGCCGCTGGCACTGCAGACTAAAAGCACAAATACCAGTTCTCACAAGGAAAGCCCCACAATGTGCACTGAAGTCAGCCAAGTCATTGTTGTAGATTGAATGTGAATACCTCCCCAAATGCATATGCTGCCATCCTCAGTCCCAGAGGGGATGCTAGGCAGTGGGTCCTGTGGGAGGCACTTAGGTCATGAGGGCAGAATCCTCATACATAAGTATCCCTATAAAAACAGACTCTCTGTTTTTCACTATGTGAAACTGTAAGAAGTCAGACTTCCACAAACTACATTGGTGTCAAAAGTCTCATCAGACACTAGACTTGCTGGTAGCTTGGTCTTGGATTTCACTGCCCCCTGAAGTGTGATAAATAAATGTCTATTGAATTCAGACTATGGACATTTTTTAGGAAAGCCCAAACTGACAAAGATGATTCCTGATCCTTAGCTTTGCTCATACCTGAAACTCATCTTTGATCTGGCTGGAGTTCGTCTGGGGGTCCAGCCTACTGATGTTGTAGTAGAGAGAGCGGAACTCACACACAGGGATGGCGGTATTGCCACAGAGGCAGGCTTCCAGGATGGCATCATGCACAAACACATACTGCTCCTGCAAGGCCAAGAAGAGAAGAGCACACCAGGTAAGAGCAGTTGCCCGGGAGCTCTTTGTCCACACTGAATCTTGCAGCAATGAAGAAAAGGCATGATTTATGCTGCAGAATTCTTAGTTCTTATCTTGAAGACCTAAGTCTTCATGATTCACAGTGACTGAGCTGTAGTACATTTTGTCCTTGTAGAAGATGGAACAGCAGAGTCACTGATAAGAAGGGGAAACTTGTGGACATGTTGTAGCAGGAGTGCTTGAGGCTCTGCTCACATCCTCAGCTTTTCTCTTTACCTGCTGAAGGCTGCTTGCGGCAAAATGCCTGCTATTCTCTGCTGAGGCTTTTCTTCCTATTTCCAGGAGCAAATGTGGGCTGTGTGCAGAGAAGCCAAAAGGGCCAAGAAGTTAATGCCATGGAAGGAGTCCTCAAGCAATGACTAAGGCAGAATTGGGGTTAAAAACCCAATTTCCCAGGGACTAGAGAGATGGCTCAGTGGTAAAGAGTACTGACTGCTCTTGTAGAGGACCCAAGTTCGATTCCTAGCACCCTCATGGCAGCTAACAACCATCTGTAACACCAGTTCCAGGGGATTTGATGCCTTCTTCTAACCTCCGTGGACATTGCATGACACGGGTGCATTTATACATGTGCAGGCAATATACTCATACACATAAAAATATTTAAAAAAAAAACCAAAAGACAAATCACTTCTACAAAGGGGAATGATATGTTGATTATACTACATTATAATTGGAGGCAATACTCATACACATAAAAATATTTAAAAAAAAAACCAAAAGACAAACCCAAGTTCCCTTTCCTCTTCTGTGAGACAGTTCAGAGCTACAGGTCCACATCATTCATCATAGTTCCCCAGCAGGACGAGATTCCAGGTCTTTACAGCCTGACAAAGTACACTTTGCTTACCCCTTCCTTCCCTATCTCACTTTGAACTCACTGACCAGTTTGTCTTGGGATTGCCTCCAAGGAGGCATAGCTCATTTCAAGGCTGTTTCTTGGGGTCTTCTCCTAACACATGTCCATATCCTCTTTCATCCTGATTCTTAGCACCTGCTGTTCTCTTTTGCTGAAATTTCTTTCCTATTCCATACTTTCATGGTTCATTCTTTGTAGAAAATCTTCTCTAAATCTACGAGGCATAAGTTACTTCTAGGCCTTTGTAACTATTTGTTGAGCTATATTTTTCCTATAATAACTTGACCTGTCTCTTTATATAAGGTGCTTATTGGGATGTTTCATGATGTAGCCGTATTTGAATGTGTTTCCCTGCCTGACAGTAATGGTCCTGTGTTCGACTCTAGCCAGTTCAGATGCTTTCTGAAGGTCTTGAGTACAGATCAGGCATTCTTCTTGGCTCTAGTGTTACAGACTTGAAGATTGGCCTGTGAGCTAGCTCAGAGCCTGCAGCAATGTCCTTTGTGATAAACCTTCCAATGAGGGTCTGCAGGGACTGCTGTGCCCAAGGTCATGGGCACTTTCCTTTGCAGAGCTGATGATGAGTGAAGATTTTGTAGAGTCCCCACAGTCTTCACTACAGCTAGAAGGTGGGCTTATTATGGGTTCGGAAAACTAAGGCATACAGGAAACAGAAGAGGTTGATTAGTAAGAGATGGTTAGGCCCTGGGATCATGTGGACCCCTGTTCTACTACAGTCTGGCCGTGTGAGCCTTAGGATATAATTTCTCAGTGTCCTCTTCATTGGTAAAATTGAAATATTTTTAGTAGGTATAACATAGATTGTGAGGCGTAAGAACACGATCCTGAATACAAAGACTGCATATTGCCTGGCTCATTATAAGTGACAATAATCAGGAGCATTCCACTTGCTATTTCCTCAGGTACTCAGTTTGTTCTCCAACTGGTCAGAAAGGGGCCCAGAGCTCTACCTTTCCTTCAGGGCAAGGCCTGTATTCTTTCTTGGAATCCCCAGCCTCTAGCTCAAGTCAACATTCTTCTCAAAACAAACAAGCAAAAAAACCTTATTAAGCCACTTCCCGCAAGACCTCACTGGATGTTTGGCACATAATTGACATTCCTTAAGTACCTTTCCCTCTCTGATCCTTCATCTAAGACTGGACTACTATTCCTGACAGCTTCCAACCTTGCATGGATGACCTCAGAGATGGGAAGCTCACTAGTTATCACTGGCAGAAGTCCCTGGATCATAGACTCTTTGGCTGGGGGAGGTAGCCTAGCTTCTAGAACAGCCTCACTCTGTCCCAATACTTGTACACACAGGTCCCTTTCTGCAGCATTTTCCTAGTAGTGGGGTTCTGTTAACCATCCTTCTCTTTGGCTAGGGAGGCAAGTGACTGGCTTGTTCAATCCCCCAGGACTCACCTCTGTCTGTACCAGGTTAACCCTCTGTGCCCGGAGCTCACGCACACAGTTGAAGATGTCTACCACTCCTTCATTCTCAGCCATGTCGAGCATGGTGTCAATAGCAATAAAGCAGCCAGTCCTCCCGGCTCCCGCACTAGAAGAGAGGTTTGGTGTGTGTTAGGGATCTTGGGACGGAATGAACCGTGGAGAAGCCCCTACCATTTAGTTCTTTCCCAGGGGGCTTGTTCAAGGGAGTATGCTGCAGAAATCATATGGATCAGTTGGAACCTCAACCTTCCTGAGGGTACTGAGCAAGTAACCATGTTGTCCTCTGTAAAACGAGAGAGTAATGCTTGTCATCGGGAGGTACTTTATCGTCATATTCACTCAGCAAATGCCTATTTCTGCTCATAAGCTGACACACACTGTTCTGCAAATGCTTTACAACTTTGCTTAAGGACATCCAATGAGGTGGTCAGCAGGTTTCTCATCCCATTTCACAGGTGAGAACCGAAGGCACAGAGGGCTTGTAGCCTGAGGTCACACGGCTGGCAGGAGGGAGAACTGAGACTTCCCCCCAGGTATCCTGGCTCTTACACTTTCTTTCTTAATAAGATTTACAGTATGTAATGTAAGATTTTACAGCAGGTGTGCCTGCAGGCTCCTTATGTGATGGGTAAAGACAGTCCAGCTGTACAGTATGAAACACTTACTGCAATGTACTGGAACCACCTCGTATACAAGTCTCCTCCCCTCCCCCTTTTCCATTCAGAAAATTGGTTTGTAGATGGAAGAAAAGAGGGGACAGTAGAGATCTGAGATCTCTGGACTGTCTCAAAGGCAGAGACTAGATGTAGAGTGCCTTGTACAAGGCCCTGCAAATAACCAACATGTACCAGCTTCCCCAGGACCATGAGCTAGACACGTCATGGAATGGAAGCAGCTGATATCCTTGCAGCCCTTACTAGGTACCAGGTTTCCTGGCATATAGTTTCTGATCAATGGTGACTTTGACAAGAGAATCTCAGCTCAGGTACAAAATAGCAAGAGGATTCCACAAGACTTCCTGGAGAACAGTCAACTGCTCCTGCTATGGAGATACAGATGCAGGTCATCACACACATTGCTGTAAAGGGTCTGATAAGTACTTTCTTGATAAATCTCCTCTGGGTTCTAAAATAATAGGGTTGGATCAGAGACAAACAGAACATGGGCCTTAACTGTACACAGTTTTGGAAGGGAAGACCAGGTAGTTTCATACCTAACTTGTTCCCCTATGAAAATAAATGTATTTTTCTGACAATGTGGAGCTCAAAGGAAATGCAAAGAGGAGGGATGTTAGAAGGTGCCAAAGTAGTACTGGCTGATAAATCCAAGAAGCATAGCTAGTGGGGACCGGTGTCTCCAGTGATCTAAAGAGAAAACCCCTAGGAAGCTGTCTTCATTCATGATAAAGCACCATGGTTTGAATTGAGTGGAGCCTGACTTATTCTTGCCTCAAAATATCTGTCTCCTACGATACTCCAGAGACCTCTAATAGGAAGAGAAGAGAATGGGCCTTGGTGTCTTGAAGGAGTACAAAGAGTCACTCATCCATCTCTTCTCCAAAGCCTCGTCCTCAATGCATCTTAGGGAAATGAACTAGTTTTACTTGTTTTTGAATCTTGGCTCCAACATGAGTAACTTGCCTGGTGTCTGGGAGCTTCAATTTTTTCACACATATAATGTGGCTCCTGGCAGAGCCTTTTTTTTCTACAATAAAATAGTAATTAAACACATGATATTTGAGACCCCTGGGATTAAATCTTGGTTCCGTTATTTACTAGCTGTGTGACCTTGGGTAAATGACTTAATCTCTCTGGATTTTGCTCTCATTCATAAAATGAAGCTGATAATATACTTCTTAGTGTTAATAGTACAATATATGTAAATTGCATGAAATTACATTTTAAAAGCATAATGCATGTAAATTGCTTAGCCCTGTGCCTGGCTGCATGGCAATTTCTCAAGAAACAGTTGCTGCTTCAATTCTACAAATATGCCCAACATGCACTAGATGCTGGAACTAGAAATGAAGGGCCGAGGATGAGTAAGCATAGTTCCTGTCCTACAGGACTTTTAAAGCTTTGTCTGGGGTGTTGGATGATACAAAGAGGCAGGGAAGAATGATGGTTTTAAGTGCTTATTACGTCAGGAATTCTTTCAGGGACTTAGTATACATTAGCCAAACTGTAACAGCTCTGCTGAGATGTGTCATAGTGACTTGCTATGGAGATACAGATGCAGGTCATCACGCACATCGCTGCACATGGTGGAGGGCCTGATAAATACTTTCCACTGTCTTCCTTCCTTCCTCTTTCTGACTGCTCTTTGGGTTACAGCGTTTAGATGCTAATGCACTTTCGCTCTTCAATTGCTGCGGGAGGCAGAGAATTCATGACAAATACTCAGACAACCCAGAGGCTTCTGCTAAACCCTCTGTTGCCACTTGTGAAGTGGGGGTGAGTATCTACTACTGTGGAGAAGACAAATGGATTCTGTGTGAGGAAGGTGCTGGCTCCAAGCTCATGGCCTCATTGAGGGAGAAAGATTCCTACAAGGATAATTCTACTTGAGTGTACAAAGCAATTAGCTAACATGATTTGAGAAGACGTTCACAGTGTATAGAGTCTCTCCTGGTCCCTTGATTCACACTGACATTGCCAGGGCAGGAAGAGATGGCCTGAGCATGTAAGGTGTGAGAAGATGGGTTGAGTCCAAGGTCATACTGGAATGGAGGAGCTTTGGGAAGGAGGGAGATGTGGACTCTCTGGCCTTCAGTTTTGGATGTATATCCTCCTCCAATTCTCAATGTCCTTGACATAATACTTTATCTCCATTTAGGAGGATTCAATGCCATTTATGTTCAATGAGACTTTCTAGGTCAAAGCTGAAAATCTCCCACCTCAGTAATAAGGGGAACCTGACACTGTCCATTTGCTCCCTATTAAGGACCCTGCAGGCCAGCAATTGATTTAAAAACATAATAGAAGTGAAGAGATGCACACTTGTTTTTACCAAGGCATCCCCTGTCTGTTTGCTCCTGGGGAACTCTAGAGAACGCATTAACTACTCTGGTTATGGCATTTCCAATCTCTATCATCTCTGTGCCTCAGTTTATTCATCTGTAAAACGGGAGTGATGAGATATTAATTCCCATCTGTCAAGCTTGCATGAGATGTGAAATAAGGTGGGAACGCACATATGGCAGGCATAGTGGATACTGCTGAGCCCAGCCTGTGTTTCTCAGGCAACCATCATAACAGTGATGGCTATTGGTATTGCTGCTGTTATTAGACCCTGAGATCCAGGTCTCCTTAAAAAGGGACTGGGCTCTGGGTCATGGGAGGTGTCCTTAAGGCAAGGAATCAAGGCCACTGGACAAGGTGGCATCTCGCTCACCCAGAGAGCAAAGCCAACGGAGGCACACTTGGTTGTGGGATGGGGAGGGGGATTTGACTCACCTGCAATGGACCACTATGGGCCCAGCTTCTGGGGGATTTAGAAACTTGACCTGGCGGATGAAGCCCAGAAGGCCGGTGGCGTAGCAGGGAACACCATGGTCAGGCCAGCTGGTGAAGTGAAAGAGGCGCAGCTCCCGGATCTCGTGGTAGCCTTTCTGAGGAGAGAATGGGCCTCATGTTCCTCAAACATCCCCCCCTGGGAGTGGTGGTCACTGAACTGAGGAACAGGCTTCCTGCTGTCCGGGGAAGAGGAAGCTGTCACTGGGTTAGTGGGTGTTCATTCACAGAATGACTCTGTGATCAGTCAGTCCCATTCGGACAATGTGAAGACAGTAGCTTCACCGAAGGACTTCTTTAATGCACTGCCACAAATTTTGAGTCCCCAAGATGGTGAACAGTATTCTGTGCTTGCCTGGGGGACCCTCTTTGACAGACATCTCATGGGAGGTATATTCAGCAGCACAGACGGAAGGAAATGATGCTTGTGAAGACTGCATTCCGTGTGTTAGCAATGGAAGACAACCTTTTGGGGGCTTCCAGCTCTCCAGCCTTGTCTGTGGCAGACCATGTGGCTTCTGAGGCTTAAATCCTTTTTAAAAAATTTATTATTTTTATTTTATGTGTATGAGTGTCATGCCTGCATGTAGGTAAGTGCATCCATGTCATGCAATTCCTGAGGAGGACAGAAGAGGCTGTAGGGCCCCCTGGAACTGTAGTTACGACAGTTGTTAGCTGCCATGTGGGTGCTGGGATTTGAACCCGAGTCTTCTGCAAGAACAGTCAGTGTTCTGAACCGCTGAGCCATCTCTCCAGCCCAAGGCTTAAATCCTTTTACAAGTTAGATTCTTATTTATAATAAGATGGAAAGGAAGTAAAAGCAGAGCTTCCCTGATGGAGGGCAGCAGTGCCGCTAACAGCTCTGATGGACTGCCCTTCCCTCTGCTCCTCTTACACAGACACACGGCAGATCAGATCAGGGACACCTCTGAGCTTTTGCTTATGCTGTTCCCCTGCCCCCCAACCCTTTTCCACTTAGCTGTCTCCTACAGATATTCAGATCATGGGCCAGAAAAAAATCTTTTCATTGTTCATCTTATAAGAAATGGTCACCAAGGGCTATTGTTTCCTGGATTTGTGCTAGGCACTAGGAAGAAGCAATTTAAGCCACAACGTCTGCACCTGGAACAGCTCATGGACGTCACTGAAGGAGAAAGATTCATATACAGATAATTACACTTGAATATAGAAAGGAGTTTGCCAACATGGTTGAAAGAGAAGAGAAATCAAGGAAAGCTTTCTAGAGGAGGCATTGCTAGGCCTGGATCTGGAAATGTAGTAGTTTCCACAGTAGACCACGGCTAATATTTATTAAGCATTGGTCATATGCCAGTTACTTTCTTGAACACGTTGATGTATTTGTTCATTTAACCTTCATGGGCTTATTTGTAATCCCCATGCTATGGAGAAGGAAAGTAAAGCTAAGCAGGTCTAGAAGGGGTCTAGTAAGCTGAAAGGTGCCGACCTGCACCCTGACCCTCTGGCTCCACAGTCTGTTCTCATTATATGCTGATGTAGGAGTCCCACCGCTTTGAAGATGAGGGAATCAAGGCAGCAGGGCAGCGTAGATGATGGCTCAAGCTCTGTGCAGAGTCTCATGAGGAAGCCAGGGCAACGGTGGAGGGATGCTGAAGGCAGGCACAGGTGAGGATGGATTGGGTATGTGAGGGATGGTAGTGCTGGAGCCTGGAGGGCCTGGAATCCTAGTCAAAGCCTTGTCTTTATTTCAAGGGTTCCAGGAGCTCCAGGAGGCTGTGCAGGTGGCTGCTCAGAAGGGGCAGGGAATCTCTTCAACTATCTGTTTCAAGGGCCCTGTGGTTGCTCTGTAGAGGGCAGATTCAGAGTGTGTGTGTGTGTGTGTGTGTGTGTAGGTGTCTAGCTAGGCTTAGTTCTTGGGCTGCAGCTCCATCCCTAGCTCCTGTGTGTTTTTCTTGGAAACAATCTGCAATCTCCTTTTTCAGGGAATAGCCCCTAGTTGGACTTGCAGCCATCCCTCAGGTACCTGGGGACAGCCTTGCTTACTGCCTAATAAAAGGGCTGGGGCATTCATTGGCTTTGTCAGTAGCCCAGTATGTCCAATGTGGAGGGCATTCTCAGGACGTGGGCCTTCAGTGTTAAAACTAGGCCTAGTCTGGGCAAGGAGAATGAGTGGTACCCATACAGGTTTAATAATGCCTTGAAGATTGGGCCCAATGCCTCCAGGCCCTGTGGGGTCCTGCTGAAGCAGGTCTTCTCCTAAGGTCCTGCTTCCCTTACCCCATCTCCTGCAAGTTCCCTCTTCAAATATAATCCATGGCATTCCACTGTCTGCTGTTTTGTGCTCTGTTTTTAGGAAATCCAAACCAGATGAAGCAAGACGAGAGACAGAGCAGTGATAGGAGGGAAGGGACAAAAGCCTGATTGAGGCCATGATGGAAGAGAGGAGAACTAGCTCTCTAAGAGCACATATGGATTTTCCACACTGTCCTCCTGTCACAGGTACCACTGAACACTGGCTTGAGCCCTTCCACCTGTCCTATGCCTTTCCCTGGTGGGACTATGCTTATTTCAAGAGCAGAGAATATATCTGTTATTCCTGGATTTACAGCTCAAGGACTGATTTTGAGCTAAACCTCCTGATAGAGTTTGTGGATCACCTGTCATATACCATGAAGAAGCTGGCAATGTTAATCCTCAGAGGCCTGTGTGGTCTTATAAGGGTATTTATCTATGGGCAACATCCTCCTTTGTGATTGTTTGAATAAAAAATGAAAAGACCCGACTTCTTCATGAAGGCTGTAATTCCTCCATAGTTTTGGTCTGGGCCTCAGGATTGGCTGTGGCTCTCAGTCCTTCCTGTTTTCAGCATTAACTGGGGATACAGTAGATGCAATTGGTACCCACTCAGAACCTCCTCATGGGGACAGTGCACCCTGGCCTCAGCTACACAGTGTTGAAGGCCAGTGTCTCCCAGTTGTCCCCTTTTTTGACAAGCATCCTTAGCTGGCAGGAAGTTAGCCCACAGTGGTCAGCCCATAGTCACTAGGAACACAAAAGTCTGACTTCCTTGCTTCAAATGGGGCAATTCTACAGAGTGGTTTATGTCTTGGTGGTTCCTGTGGATTAGGCCCAGACTAGATAAGTGTTCTCTGCCTTTGCTCCCCCTTGACACCCCAGCTATCTAAATCCTAGCCTCAGGGTCAGCCTGTGAGCAATCTGATTTAAGAAACATAGGGACCTGTGGTTCTCCCTTCTCTGAATGGAAGAAGGTCACATGGACTCTGGCCTTTCACTTGACTCTTCAGACTCTAGGAGTATGTGGATTGGAGGATGGTACATCCTGACCCATGCCATGCATGCCAGAACATTACTGGGCTTGTTCTGTATTAACCTGCTCAGCAGCCTGCTTTGGCCCTCAAGACTTGTCCATACCCCAAGGACACAGCTCTCTAAGCATTTAAATCCTACTGCTTTGCATTGTCAGGTGTATCACCATGGTAAAGGGGTTGCTTTTAGAAAATGGCAATTACTATGGTTTGGAAGAAGCAGTGGGCTCCAGTGGCTAATGCGGGAGTCCTGTTCCACCATCTTTCACCTGAACAACTTTAGATACCCCATGTAAATACTCTGTGTCTCTATTTCTTTGCCTGAGAAATGGGAACAAAATCACATGATTGCAGAGAGGATTAAACAAGTTAATCTATGCAAAACTTTTTAGAGACTGCTTAGGAAATGTTAGCTGTCAGAATACAGACATCCCTGACTTTATATGGTGCAAAAGAGATATGTGCCCAGTAAATATTTTACTTTGAATTTCAATCTTTTCTGGACCAGTGATATGTGACATGATGGTCTCTTGTGACACAGTAAGCCACAGGATCTATTTGCCCACACCATCATAAGAGTAAAGAATGCAATATACTTGGTCTATTGTATTGCTAAGCTATGCAGTCATGTTTAACAGGGGAGGCATATTAAATGCATTTTCGACTTATGATATTTTCAATTTACAATGGGCATACTGGCATAGAACCTCATGGTTAAATCCATAAACACCTGTACAATAGCAATTATTTAATAGAAATGACTAGTAGTTGAACCCTATAGATGGGTAATGAATTTTACTTGTGAACTTATTCTTGCTTATCAAGCTTATGAAATTCTGGCCTCCTTTCAATGTCTACACCAGCATCTCTCAACTTAGACACTCCTGGATTCAGATCGACATGCTGGGCTAGATAATTCTTTGTCATGGGTGCTATGCTGTAACTCTGTGTTGTGAATTATTTAGCAGAAATACTGGCCTCCACCCAATAGATGCCAGTAGCAATCTATCCTCTCTCAAATTGTAATGACTTCAAACAGTGACAAATATCTTCCCAGAGGACCAATTCACCCTGAGTTGAGATCAGGCCCAGACTAGATTCTCAGCCTAGGAAATGTTGAGATCTTTTTGCCCTCTACACTTTGTGTGTTTCTGAGCCTTGGCTAGGGATAATAGTCCTTCCATCCTTTCCTTATAGAACCTTCTCATTCCTCAGTCTTTGCACAAATTCCTTCTCCTCTGGGAAAGGATTTCTAAGTTGTCCATTCTCCTGTGGCATTTGTCTTTTATCACAATGTATCAGCTCTCTACTGAAGTATGTTTTTCTCTCCAGTTAAGGGATCCATTGTACAAGCCACATCTGATCTGACTGCTGATCTGTCTGTTGTTCCAGATGTGGAGTTAGATACAAATTAGACCCTTGGTCTCCACCTGTCTGAATAGACTAGCTAGATGGCTTGAAAGATGGTCTTCCTACAGCTAAGGGAAACTTACCTTTTGGACAGTGAAGGTGCGGATGATGTATTCCGCCAGGGGTTCTGTTTCTATCAGGGTGACTTTAATGTCTCCATAGACCTCTGTGTCATCTGGCCAGTATCGTACACATTTCACCTGTGGCCAAGTGAGAGATAGGGAAAGGACAGAGAGGAGGGTGCATAAGCAGGAGGCTACGTGTAGAAGACACCTTATTTGGTTTCCCATCCAGATAAACCCGAGGGTGACTGTGGTGTCATTGCCACAGGGTGCTCAGTTGGCCAGGGCTCAGCAAACTGCACAGGGCCAAGCTCAACACCAGAGTCAACTGGGGCCATTAGCAATACTAGTAGCATCTTCTTTTACAACGCTCCTTCCAATTTTCCAAGGCCTCACTATACTAAGTGATCAGAACGAACTAAGGAAGATGGGAGGCTTATTATCCCCATTTTCTAGATGAATAATACTACTCAAGTCAGGAGGTTTGGTGACTTATTTTTCTCTCATATCAGTTGGGGAAGTTTGGGGCAGTTGAACACCATTAGCTGAGCAAAGACGTGAATCACAAGTGGGAAACAGTGAGGAGGCAAAAGCAGAACAGGTTACAAGAAGGTCCTGACTAAGAGGTGATCACTGGGGGCCAAAAGGAGAAAGGCTCTTAGTTGGGGAAAGGATGGAGAGTCCTGGGCTCAAAGGGAAGATACTGCTCTCTGGCGGCCGGTACCCATGCTAGCAACAAGCAATTCCCACATTCAGCTCTAACTCTAAATCATACTCCGTGGAGGAAGAAAAAGAGATCATGATTTTCCCCTTAAAATAACAAAAGCATTATTACCATTCCGGGGGACGCTGCACGGCCTAGCGTGGCATTTCCCACAGTGTGTTCCGCTGGGTGCTAATAGGTGTTAGGTGGAAAAAAAAAAAAAAGAAACAAAAAACAAAACAAAAAGAGGTTTTGTGGTCAAATGAGTTTGGGAAATGCTGCTTCAACAAAGTTAAACAAGCTGCTTTTCTACAAGACTACTTGGGCTCCTCAAAAGTGCTATAGTTAATATCTTAGGACTCTCCAACAGGGGCAGAGGACACAGCATTTCCCAAACGTATTTAACCAGGGAACCCTCTGCTCACTAGGCATCCTGCAGACTAGCATCCCGTGGAACCCACTTAGGGAAACACTGAGAGAGTACAAGGTTTGGAGGTAAATGGACTCATCACTTGATTCTAACATTCTATAGCTAAGAGGCTTCTAGAAAGAACCTCAGATTCCTATCAGTAATAATAGCTGATACTTACCTCATCTAACATTGCCTATTAAGTGTTCTATGAGTGAATTGCATGTATCATTTTAATTGTTTGTCAGCACAACATCAGATATTTTCATCATCCACATTTTACATGTTAATATCTAAACATGGGAGAGTCAAGAAAATTTCCACAAATCAACTGTTGGCAAATGAGGGCGGGGGGTCAGGACCAAACCAGACTCTGAATCATAACCAGGAACACTGCCTTGTACAATGATTATGAGATCAATTTAATGCAGTGTTTATGTTTGGCGACTAGTTGACATTCCGCTCAGAGTCTGCTCTCCTTCCAAACCTAGTTTTTATTCATAATTTATCCATCAAGACAATCTGTTTCCAGACATGGAATGTGTCAAGGGCCAGGCTGGAATTCTCAAACTCAGGGCTGGCCTTGTTATCTACCAGAGTTGCAGCCTGGGCCTGAGTCCCTGGGGAACAGTCTGAACAGAAGGGTCATGAGAATTAGAATGAGAGTCAACAGTGAAATTCTAGCTGAGAGATTTCAGGCCAGTTAGCCCTTTGCATCCATACCCTCATCTGTAAAACTGGGGACTGGTCCTGCTAAGGGTGAATTCAAAGATAAAAACCTCACCTTTCCCTGAACCCACATTAAATAATGAGATGTCCATGCAATTTTATGACAGATGGGACAGCTTTCCTTGCCCATGACTATGGCCAGGGCACTTCATTTTTATAAATTATCTGTAAAACCTTATTTGCCCTTCTTGAGTTAGTTCATAAAATATACAGGGAGTCCTTTAAGTCCAGATATTTGTACATCTGCCTTTCAAGTGTGTAGTCCACCCATCCATCCACAGGCCACAGTTAACCAAAGAAGCAAAATCAAGCTGGAAATAGTGGTCCCATTTCTAAGGCCTAGTTAAGAACTACTTAGGAGTGAACCTAGATGGAACAGAGAGGGAGACCAAGTCTGAGCCTTGAAGAACAGCAAGGTTTAGAGGTAGGATGCTTCAGGGAGGTGAAGATGTGAAGAGAGAAGTGGAGGCTGGGTTTGTAACAGGAAGGAAATGAGTGATGCTGACAGTCTCACTGCTGATGGAATGGAGGAACTGCTATGCTGGGGAGGGTGAAAGAGAACTGAGTGGAAAAACAGAGCCTCACACCAGTCCTTGAAGTTCTGCAGAGAAGGAGGGGCAGGATAGACATTTTTGTTTGCCTTTGAAAGTATCTCTATTTTATATTTTTATTGATTAATTTTGTGGTTTGACAATTTCATATATATTATTTCATAAATAAATATATTATGTATGCAATCTAATTATTCTCTCCCCCCCTCCATCTCCCTATCAACCCTCCCCTCAATCCCTACCAGTCCCTTTCCTAGGTTCATGACTTTTATTTTTTGTTTTGTGACCCATTTAGGCAATTTTGTTTTTGATTTCTCTTTCCTTCTTTCCTTTTTTTCCCTTTCCTCCCTCCCTTCCCCCTCCCTCCCTCCCTCTTTCTTTTTCCCTCTCCTCCTTCCCTCTTTCTTTCTTTCTTTCTTTCTTTCTTTCTTTCTTTCTTTCTTTCTTTCTTTCTTTCTTTCTTCCTTGTCTTTTTGAGACAGG